ACTGGGGAGCCCAGAACTGGACACAGTACTCCAAATGCGGCCTCACCAGGGCAGAGTAGAGGGGGAGGATAACCTCCCTCGACCTGCTGGCCACACTCTTCTTGATGCATCCCAGGATACCATTGACCTTCTTGGCCACAAGGGCACATTGCTGGCTTACGGTCAACTTGTCCAAATAGCCTTTCATAGCCTTGCTGAAGTCATAAAACTCTCAGTTCTCCAGTCTTCAAGAAAGTCTGCCAGGATAAAGAAGATAAAATTTCCTAATGCAAGAAACAAGTACACTGTGCTATATAGAGCAAAGACACACTCACACAGAGGTCACAAGCCCTTACTCTACCTGGCTAAAAGTTTGTTGGATTTTTTACATTAATTATTTAGCTTTGCTTCATCTACACACAAGGATACGTTATCATTATTATCATTAGTAACTTCTCCAAACAAATGAAAATGTGCTTCTCTAATTCAATCCTGGCTCTGTATAAGAGCACAAACTTTGCAGTATTCAAGGCCAACATTTTCCTACCAATAACAGAATTAAACAATTGCCTGAAACAAATAGATGTATGAGAAGAAGGATAAAGGAGGGATAACATGAGTGTGTGTTCACATAGATTAGCTGTGCACACAGTTTACCTCACCATCTGCATCCTTGTTACCTGCACGTTCAAGATAACAATGCGTTTCACAAAGGAGTGAGAATTTGCCTCATGCATTTGGTTGAAATGGCTGTTTCCTGTACAATGGTTTGTTAATGGTCCTTCTTCTGCCCCATAATCACAGAATCATACAATCGTAGAATGGTTTAGGTTGGAAAGGACCTTGAAGATGATCAAGTTCCAACCTCCCTGCCATGGGCAGGGACACCTCCCACTAGACCAGGTTGCCCAAGGCCACGTCCAGCCTGGCCTTGAACACCTCCAGGGATGGGGCCTCAACAACCTCTCTAAACAACCTGTTCCAGTGCCTTACAACCCTCAAAGTAAAAAACTTCTTCCTAATGTTTAATCTAAATCTGACCTCTTCCAGTTTATATCCATTCCCCCCTCGTCCTGTCACTAAATGCCCTGGTAAAAAGTCCTTCCCCAGCTCTCCTGTAGGCCCCCTTTAGGTACTGGAAGGCCGCAATAAGATCTCTCCGGAGCCTTCTCTTCTTCAGGCTGAACAGCCCCAACTCTCTCAGCCTCTCCTCATAGGAGAGGTGCTCCAGCCCTCAGATCATCCTCGTGGCTCTCCTCTGGACACGCTCCAGCAGGTCCATGTCTTTCCTATGTTGAGGACTCCAGAGCT